TACATGTTTTATTTATATTAAACTAACGATAAATGTGTTATTTTTAAAGTTGTGCTAAACTAAATAATGTGTTATTTTGGAGTATTCACTGATATTGAGTGCGGGGGATAAAAACTGTTTTCCCGCAGGATTCCCTCTGATCCCCGCCGTCATCCACTCCATCGCCCGGAGGTGCTACTACAACGACAAGTGAGTAATAACAGTACAGTAATATTCAGCAGTAATAACCACATGGTTTCTGTCACATGGTTCTAAGGCTGTGATTGGTCGACAGGTGCTGGGTCAGCTCTGACACCTCCCTGCTGTACATCATCCATGGACCCATCTGCGCCGCGCTGGTGGTACGTGGACCGGATTCTGTTTCCAGAGAAGGACTTTGGCTCCGGGACAGGAGTCTATTGTTCCGCAGGACAATGGGGGTCAGAGTTTGCAGACAGCATAGGTTCAAATCCCAAACAAACCACACGGTCCTGGAGAGAGCTCGGTCTGAATCAAACACGTCACATCTGAGCAAAACATGTTTTAGTTTAGTTTAGTTCTCCACCTTTAAGATCCATACAATGTAGCACAGGTGAACTCTGAGGAGCACAGGGACTGGCCTCCTGCTGGGACTCTGAGGAGCACAGGGACTGGCCTCCTGCTGGGACTCTGAGGAGCACAGGGACTGGCCTCCTGCTGGGACTCTGAGGAGCACAGGGTCTGGCCTCCTGCTGGGACTCCTGAGGAGTAAAAACACAGGGACTGGACTAAGGCAGCCTTTCAGATTTATGCAGCTACATTCTGGAACAATCTTCTTGAAAACGTGAGACAGACTTTGACCATGGGACAAAGACATTTAGAACTGCTGTTTTTTCTCGTTCCAAGGGAGACATTTCTGTGTCTTTTTAAAACAAGATAAATCTCAGATAAATCAGTCAAAGATACATTTCCTTCCCTTCTGCAGAGTAGGATCTTGCTCAGCTCTGTCGTTTCTCTGTGTGTGAACTGTGCCATACCATATACACCGTCCCTGGTCTGTGGTCTGCGCAGGTGAACTTGTTCTTCCTGCTGAACATTGTGCGGGTCCTGATCACGAAGCTCCGTGTGACGCACCAGGCCGAGTCCAGCCTCTACATGCGAGCGGTCCGGGCCACCCTCATCCTCATCCCACTCCTGGGCATCCAGTTTGTGCTGCTGCCCTACAAGCCCCAGGAGCAGCACGTGGCCGAGGTCTATCTCTACGTCATGGAGATCCTCATGCACTACCAGGTTCAGAGACCCAGAGGAGACCAGAGAGAGACCAGAGAGAGACCATGAGCAGAGAGGACCAGAGATGAGACCAGAGAAGAGACCAGAGAGAGACCAGAGAGAGACCATGAGGAGAGACCAGAGAGAGATCCAGAGATGAGACCAGAGAGAGACCGAAGAGAGAGACCAAGAGAGACCAGAGAGAGAACCAGAGAGGGACCAGAGAAAAGTGGCCGTTTTGGGACATAAAATGAACACATAGTTTAAAACCAGTTTCTCTCCACCTTCCTCATCTAACACACTAAGGATAATAATAATAATGTTTCTGTACGGGGGGATTTACACATCCAACAACATTTGAAATGTTATGTCAAATATTCCAATGATTGATTTTTATCCTAAAACTCTCCAAAAGTGGTTCTTGTTGAATTATTTGACTTTCTCTTTCCATTCCAGGGTCTGCTGGTCTCCACCATCTTCTGCTTCTTCAACGGAGAGGTAAGGTTTCACCAGGGTCTTGGGTTTCCTCTCTCCATCCACGTGGGACCTCTTCACTGAACCCCCCCTCTGCCCCCCCTCGTACCCCCCAGGTCCCAGAAAACGTCCTACGCAGGACACTGGAGCCAGCAGAGGATGCAGTTGGCTGGGACCTTCGCCAACGCAGACTTCTTCAGGTCGGCGTCCTACGTGGCCTCGTCCCTGACCGAGGTGCACCGCTGCTACAGCATCGAGAGCCACACGGAGACCATCAACGGCAAGAGCTACTCCGACATCTTCAGGTCCGACAGCCCCTTCGTGTGAGGGGGGGGTCGGGGAGACAGACTGGGGCCGCCATGGAAGCCTACGGACCTTTGTTGGAAGTTACTGGGCAAGATACTGACATGACGGACACTCACTGGATTTATGGTCACGGTTGGTCAAGATCATGGACTAAAGATAGAGATGGACAATGCTAACCCGCTAGCTCAATGAAGCTCGATAGGGAAGTGCTCATAGACAGAGATTTGGTCCAAGTCGCTCTGGCTCCTTTCAGAATCAGAATCCATTTTTTGCAATAGAAGACAAAAGACTCTGGACTGAAGCCGTTTGCACAAAAGCTGCTGTGACCTCTGACCTCTGACCAGAAACAGCAAAACAAAGACTCTTTACGATCTTGTAAAGATTATATACATTTTATTAGAGTACCACCTGTGTTTATGCTGGTCATATTCTGACTGATCTGAAGAGCTGCTGGCTTCAGCTCTGGACAAACAGACCTTAGACTGTTTTAGAAACCTGCTTTAGATTCTGCAGATGCAGCCACTGCTTGTAAATATATATGAATATGTACATACTGTAGTGTTGAATGTATTTCTGACACCGTGGCCACGTGTGGCTACGTGTGGCTACGTGTGGCTACGTGTGGCTACGTGTGCTCTTAGCCAAAGCATTGTAAATAAAGTAGCCCAGTCCAAACCGCCTGTGAAATTCCAGTTGCGCAGCTCGTGGTCTTCCTGCTCCAGACACATCGGGACAGAATCCAGGCGGGTGTGGTTTCCAGGCTGACCCCCCACACCCTGGTTCCCACTTGAGTCCACATTGTTATCGAGACAAAGGTACAGGAGCTTCCCCAATATTTATCATCGCTGCGAAAGAGGCTCAACAATAAAAGTCCTGAGGAGTGGGTGTGACATCACCGCGTGGACAGGGCCAGAGTGTTTCATTTCTGTCTCAGTGACTCATCTTATCCATCGCAGCTCATTAAGGCTGTTACCGTACGCCCTGAAGCGTCTGGGGAGGTGGAAGTCTGAGGAAAAGCCCCTCCTAGCTGCTTTTATTTACCGCAGTGGAAGTGGGGCTGTTATGTGCTCTTCCTGTTTCTAAGAATACCTGATGCTGAACCATGGCTTTGTTTACAGCCTTCATTTCCTCAGCAAACAGACAACATCTTAAGACTCCGACGATTTAGACTTTTTATTACGACCGGGGGCGCGGCGAACGCTGAAACTTCACAAAAAGCCAGTCTCCTTTGTCTGGTCTCGTCCCTGTTTCTTGTATTGAAATTTGGGGGAGTTTTCCATCGTCAGAGGAAACTTCCCATTTGTCATCTGCAGAGTCCACTTTGGAAAACACGAGAACATGAGCGTCACTGCTGCGCCACGATCCTGAAACAAAATGATCACTTTAGAGGTGGAGGAGGAGGTGGAGGAGGTGGAGGAGGAGGTGGTGCGAGGCGTGGAGGAGGAGGAGGAGGAGGAGGTGCGAGGCGTGGAGGAGGTGGAGGAGGAGGTGGAGGAGGAGGTGGTGCGAGGCGTGGAGGAGGTGGAGGAGGAGGTGGAGGAGGAGGTGGTGCGAGGCGTGGAGAGGTGGAGGAGGAGGTGGTGCGAGGCGTGGAGGAGGTGGAGGAGGAGGTGGAGGAGGAGGTGGTGCGAGGCGTGGAGGAGGTGGAGGTGTGAGTCCAGGCTGAGTGGACGTGTCCCGGGGACGGGTGGGCCTCAGGAAAGGTTGTCCAGTGTCCAGCGCAGACAGGTCAGAGGTCAGGCCGATGACATCACTTTGAGCCAATCACGGCGCTGCCATGTCTCTGCCCTACTTTCCTTCGACACAATTATTACAGCTCTGTGGAGAGGCAACATCACACTGTATTCATATTAATATCTAATAATAATAATATATTAATAATGAATAATAACGAGTGAAACTTGACACTTTGGTTTGAGTGCGATGCTCTCGGTGCGCTCAGTCTGCTGCCAACAGGAAGTGTGCGGCTCCTCTCCTGCTTCCTGCCATTGTGCCGTGCTGCCATCCACTGCCCCCACCCCCTGCCCTCACCCTCTGCCCCCACCCTCTGCGCCCAACCGCTGCCCCCACCACCTGCCCCCACCCGCTGCCCCCACCCTCTGCCCCCACCCTCTGCGCCCAACCGCTGCCCCCACCACCTGCCCCCACCCCGCTGCCCCCACCTCTGCCCCCACCACCTGCCCCCACCCGCTGCCCCCACCCGCTGGCCCCCACCCTCTGCCCCCACCCTCTGCCCCCACCCCCTGCCCCCACCCCCTGCCCCACCCTCTGCCCCCACCCTCTGCCCTCACCCTCTGCCCTCACCCTCTGCCCCCACCCTCCTGCCCCCACCCCCTGCCCCCACCCCCTGCCCCCACCCTCTGCCCCCACCCGCTGCCCCCACCCTCTGCCCCCACCCTCTGCCCTCACCCTCTGCCCCCACCCGCTGCCCCCACCTCTGCCCCACCCTCTGCCCCCACCCTCTGCCCCCACCCGCTGCCCCCACCCTCTGCCCCCACCCAGCCCCACCCTCACCCCCCTCCAGGGATCAGTGTGGCCGGACTAGATCTCAGGAATAAGACCAACACTTTCAGATCTTTTCATCGTTTAAAGCCGCGGTACCTACATTTGTTTGTTTCTTAAAAAACCCATATTTTTGTCTAAACAGAAAAATATGAACAATTAAGACACAGCACAGTCCTGATAAAACCTCAGATCTTTGGTGTCGCTGGGACCCGCGGTGATCAGGAACACAGACTAACAGAATGGAAACGCCTCACATTTTTATTTTAATGTGATAAAGGACAATAATTAGCATATTTCAGACAGGAGACCCTCAGATATGGAGACAACGTGGGAGGTCCTAATAAAAAAGTGCTCAGACGAGGATGTCACTTCTCTTTAAAAACTGCAACTAAAAGACAAAAAAAATCTGTTTTTAATCTGTAATTTTACTATAGTTCTATTTTTGTGGCTTCAAAATGAGGAACCGCAGCTTTAATGCTCTGTCAGTGACGCTCTGTAAATCTTGTTCCTGAATTGTGGAGGGTTTTGGACACCCCTCATTGTTATGATTTTCTAAACGATGAATTTCAGTTAAATTTCAGTAAAATACATCATCTTGGAGACAAAATGATGTATTTGGTTTTAAGAATGAATGTACATTTTCTGTGAATGATACAAACTTTATTTTGCTCAAATATGGCTGTGTCTGTCTCCTGCACGATACTGAACTGACACTTCTTAACCCCCCAAAAAACTAAAATGTATACAGAAAAATGAACAATGTATATGAAAAATACAATGATTTATACAGAAAAATCCTAAAAATGGAGAGAGGGGCCCAGACCTCTTCATTCCTCTGTGAAGCACATGCCGGGGTTAAAGGGGAGGTGTGGTGTGCATTTAAAGGGGAAGGAAGAGGTGTCTCTGGGAAAGCTCAGGGTCCCCAGTGAGCGGAGAGGACCGGAGCAGTCTCAGGGTCAGTGGCTCCTGAGGGCCTCCTTCAGACCACTCCCTGCTTCTGCCGAACACAGGGACGGTTCCTCGAAACGGCCCCGCCCCGTCAGGAGTTCTCACACGACACATCAAAGGGCAAGAGCTGGTGTTTGTTTACGAGACGAGCTTCCTGTGCGAGAAACTGAAGCAGGAGGAAAGAGAGAAGAAGAAGGAAGCACAGGGACTAGCCTCCTGCTGGAACTCTGAGGAGCACAGGGACTGGCCTCCTGCTGGAACTCTGAGGAGCACAGGGACTGGCCTCCTGCTGGGACTCTGAGGAGCACAGGGACTGGCCTATGGGACTCTGAGGAGCACAGGGACTGGCCTCCTGCTGGGACTCTGAGGAGCACAGGGACTAGCCTCCTGCTGGGAAACTCTGAGGAGCACAGGGACTGGCCTCCTGCTGGGACTCTGAGGAGCACAGGGACTGGCCTATGGGACTCTGAGGAGCACAGGGACTGGCCTCCTGCTGGGACTCTGAGGAGCACAGGGACTTGTCTCCTGCTGGGACTCTGAGGAGCACAGGGACTGGCCTCCTGCTGGGACTCTGAGGAGCACAGGGACTGGCCTCCAGCTGGGACTCTGAGGAGCACAGGGACTTGTCTCCTGCTGGGACTATGAGGAGCACAGGGACTGGCCTCCTGCTGGGACTCTGAGGAGCACAGGGACTGGCCTCCTGCTGGGACTCTGAGGAGCACAGGGACTGGCCTATGGGACTCTGAGGAGCACAGGGACTGGCCTCCTGCTGGGACTCTGAGGAGCACAGGGACTGGCCTCCTGCTGGGACTCTGAGGAGCACAGGGACTGGCCTCCTGCTGGGACTCTGAGGAGCACAGGGACTGGCCTCCTGCTGGGACTCTGAGGAGCACAGGGACTGGCCTATGGGACTCTGAGGAGCACAGGGACTGGCCTCCTGCTGGGACTCTGAGGAGCACAGGGACTTGTCTCCTGCTGGGACTCTGAGGAGCACAGGGACTGGCCTCCTGCTGGGACTCTGAGGAGCACAGGGACTGGACTCCTGCTGGGACTCTGAGGAGCACAGGGACTGGCCTCCTGCTGGGACTCTGAGGAGCACAGGGACTGGCCTCCTGCTGGGACTCTGAGGAGCACAGGGACTGGCCTCCTGCTGGGACTCTGAGGAGCACAGGGACTGGCCTATGGGACTCTGAGGAGCACAGGGACTGGCCTCCTGCTGGGACTCTGAGGAGCACAGGGACTGGCCTCCTGCTGGGACTCTGAGGAGCACAGGGACTGGCCTCCTGCTGGGACTCTGAGGAGCACAGGGACTGGCCTCCTGCTGGGACTCTGAGGAGCACAGGGACTGGCCTCCTGCTGGGGACTCTGAGGAGCACAGGGACTGGCCTCCAGCTGGGACTCTGAGGAGCACAGGGACTGGCCTCCTGCTGAGACTCTGAGGAGCACAGGGACTGGCCTCCTGCTGGGACTCTGAGGAGCACAGGGACTGGCCTCCTGCTGGGACTCTGAGGAGCACAGGGACTGGCCTCCTGCTGGGACTCTGAGGAGCACAGGGACTGGACTCCTGCTGGGACTCTGAGGAGCACAGGGACTGGTCTCCTGCTGGGACTCTGAGGAGCACAGGGACTGGCCTCCTGCTGGGACTCTGAGGAGCACAGGGACTGGCCTCCTGCTGGGACTCTGAGGAGCACAGGGACTGGCCTCCTGCTGGGACTCTGAGGAGCACAGGGACTGGTCTCCTGCTAAGACTGAGGAGCACAGGGACTGGCCTCCTGCTGGGACTCTGAGGAGCACAGGGACTGGCCTCCTGCTGGGACTCTGAGGAGCACAGGGACTGGCCTCCTGCTGGGACTCTGAGGAGCACAGGGACTGGCCTCCTGCTGGTCCCAGAGTCATGAATCAGTATCATGGGGAGGCAGCGTTTCAAAATCTAGAACAGTCTTCCTGAAATAGTGAGACAGGCTTCTGCTCCAGACTGAAGACTCTTTCATCTTTTGAATGTGTTTCTTGAATTGTCTTAAACTAGATTTGGTCCAAGCAGATTAGTTTCAGTTCTCGACCCAAATGAAAATGATCTTCTGTGTTTTCAAACAGACACTTTCACCTCAAACTCTTGCTGAGATTTTGTGAAAAACACAGATTTTCATCATAAACAAACTGACCTATTTTAAAGCACATTGTTTCATTTCCAGACATTTTCACTTAAGATTTGTCATTTCAAGATTTTTTCAAGAAATAAGGAAATATTATACTTTTATGTGTTTGCATGTTTCTCCCTGTGTCCACCACCACAAACTGCACCTTATTATGAACTTTCAGGACAGAATTTACAAATAAACCAAGAAAACATGTCTAAGAATGAGATTTAAAGTTCTGAGATATTACTGTGAGAGTGTTTGAGATTTGGTCCGTGCTCTTTGCAGTAAACAAACGCTCCTCGTTGAGATGCAGCGGTTTGATCCAAGTCAACAACAGTTGTTGTGTCAATGAGCAAGACACTTCCATCTTGTCCTTGTGCTGATGCAGATCAAACTGTGACTTTCATTTCTCCTCACGTCAGATTTTCCACCGTGAAAATAGCGTCTGTGTCTAAAATAGAGCTCTCACAGCAGCAGTAGCAGCAGCAGCAGGAGCAGCAGCAGGAGCAGCAGCAGCAGGAGCAGCAGCAGCAGGAGCAGCAGCAGCAGGAGCAGCAGTAGCAGCAGCAGCAGCAGCAGCAGCAGCAGGAGCAGCAGCAGCAGCAGCAGCAGCAGCAGCAGGAGCAGCAGCAGTAGCAGCAGGAGCAGCAGCAGCAGCAGCAGCAGGAGCAGTAGCAGCAGCAGCAGCAGCAGCAGCAGTAGAAGCAGCAGCAGGAGCAGCAGCAGTAGCAGCAGGAGCAGCAGCAGCAGCAGGAGCAGCAGCAGTAGAAGCAGCAGCAGCAGTAGAAGCAGCAGCAGGAGCAGCAGCGGTAGAAGCAGCAGCAGCAGCAGCAGCAGGAGCAGCAGCAGTAGCAGCAGCAGCAGCAGCAGCAGCAGCAGCAGCAGCAGCAGCAGGAGCAGCAGCAGTAGCAGCAGTAGAAGCAGCAGCAGCAGCAGCAGGAGCAGCAGCAGCAGCAGCAGCAGGAGCAGCAGCAGTAGAAGCAGCAGCAGCAGCAGGAGCAGCAGCAGTAGAAGCAGCAGCAGTAGAAGCAGTAGAAGCAGCAGCAGCAGTAGAAGCAGCAGCAGCAGCAGTAGAAGCAGCAGCAGCAGCAGCAGCAGCAGCAGCAGCAGGAGCAGCAGCAGGAGCAGCAGCAGCAGGAGCAGCAGCAGTAGCAGCAGGAGCAGCAGTAGCAGCAGGAGCAGCAGCAGTAGAAGCAGCAGTAGCAGCAGGAGCAGCAGTAGCAGCAGCAGCAGCAGCAGCAGGAGCAGCAGCAGCAGCAGCAGCAGCAGCAGTAGCAGGAAGTGAGCAAGGCCTGTGGACCATGTGTGCGCTGACCTTCGACCCCTGAGGGCCGGCCCTTCCTGAGCTCCACTTCTCCCAGGATCCTCTCTGTTTCTCCAACGTGAGCACATGGCTCTGGACCCGACCGGCCCAGAACCCAAGCCCTCGTCATCGATGATGTCACTCGTCGGTACCAAACTAACCACGTTTATTGAACATCCACAATAAAGAAAGAAAGAACAGTATTTTTCATTTACAGCGACTTTTACAGAGAAGGAAATAACTTAGTTTCATTTGGACTTTATTACACTTATTACAGCAACTGCTCCTGTGTGGGCTCGGCCTGTACAGACACTACACACAGAACCTGCAGCACCTGCAGAACCTGCAGCACCTGCAGAACCTGCAGAACCTGCAGCACCTGCAGCACCTGCAGAACCTGCAGAACCTGCAGCACCTGCAGAACCTGCAGAACCTGCAGCACCTGCAGCACCTGCAGAACCTGCAGCACCTGCAGAACCTGCAGCACCTGCAGAACCTGCAGCACCTGCAGCACCTGCAGAACCTGCAGAACCTGCAGCACCTGCAGCACCTGCAGAACCTGCAGCACCTGCAGCACCTGCAGCACCTGCAGAACCTGCAGCACCTGCAGAACCTGCAGCACCTGCAGCACCTGCAGCACCTGCAGAACCTGCAGCACCTGCAGAACCTGCAGCACCTGCAGCACCTGCAGCACCTGCAGAACCTGCAGAACCTGCAGAACCTGCAGCACCTGCAGCACCTGCAGAACCTGCAGCACCTGCAGCACCTGCAGAACCTGCAGCACCTGCAGAACCTGCAGAACCTGCAGCACCTGCAGAACCTGCAGCTCCTCCCATTGTCTCTCTCTCACATTGACAGAATAAATAATATTCTTGACCAGCTTTAGGATTTTCTTTTCTTTTTTAAACTCTTCGCGGGTCGTCTCCTGCGTGTGTGTGTCCATGTCCTGCGTGTGTGTGTCCATGTCCTGCGTGTGTGTGTCCATGTTCCGCGTGTGTGTGTCCATGTCCTGCGTGTGTGTGTCCATGTCCTGCGTGTGTGTGTCCATGTTCCGCGTGTGTGTGTCCATGTCCTGCGTGTGTGTGTCCATGTCCTGCGTGTGTGTGTCCATGTCCCACGTGTGTGTGTCCATGTCCCGCGTGTGTGTGTCCATGTTCCGCAGTTGTGCGTTCTCTGAGGGTTCTACGAGAAGCAGACGGGTCCCAGGTCCAGACCGAACTCCTGCTGGTCCTGACCGATGTCCAGGGGGGCCACGTCCACGATGGGGAGTCGGGCCGGTTTCTGAGTCCTGTATTCCAGAACACTCTTACTCCACGCTCCGTTCGCGTTCTGACGGAGACACAAGAACAGCCACGTTACAGAGGAGGAAATAACAACAATACTGTATATATATATGTATTTATATATATACAGTATATAAACAACTACACTGCAAAAAACTGATTAAACATGATATATATATTTAGCCATTTTCTTGTTGACATTTTTGACCTGCTTTTGGAATTTGAATCTGGGTTTATCTTGAAAACTACTTTTATTTCAACGTGAGGTCATTGTTGAACTGTCAAATAATGCTCAAATTTGGGAAAATGTGACTAAAACAAGATTCCAGTGAAACAAAGAGAAAATAAATAGTTCTTGAAATCTCTCGTGGGTAAATCTTGTTTTCAGACAGAATGTGCTCGTGTTGAGAAAAAACACTAAATGACAGAAATATTTTCCTCATATTTGATCGTTTTTTGCAGTTCTTTCATGAGCGTGGGGGGGGCCTCACCGCGCAGCCGTCCTCTAACACCGAGTATCGGAGGCGGGGGTTGCCCTGGGCCCTCAGCTCTTGGCCGTTGGCGCCCTTGAGCAGCAGCGCCCTCTTGAGGCTGGAGGTCTTGGCGTCTCTGTAGGCGACGCTGTTCCTGCAGTGGTAGGTCATGTTCTGATGCGCCTCTTTGGAGAGCAGCTGCAGGAGGCGCAGCTGCACCGCCGCCACGTTCAGCGGCTCCTCCGGGCTCCCGTAGCTCAACTGCACACAAGGGAAAATACTTCATGTGTCGATTATACTTTACTTTACTCATCTGTGCAATGATAACTTTAATAATGTCAGCATGTACAACATAGAACCACACGAGAATAATAATAATAATAATAATAACAATAACAATAATAATAATAATAATAATAATAATAACAATAATAATAATAACAATAATAATAATCTCACTGTGACTCTCACCGTGACTCTCGCCGTGACTCTCACCGTGACTCTCACCGTGACTCTCGCCGTGACTCTCACTGTGACTCTCGCCGTGACTCTCGCCGTGACTCTCACCGTGACTCTCGCCGTGACTCTCGCCGTGACTCTCGCCGTGACTCTCGCCGTGACTCTCACCGTGACTCTCACCGTGACTCTCACCGTGACTCTCACCGTGACTCTCACCGTGACTCTCACCGTGACTCTCGCCGTGACTCTCACCGTGACTCTCGCCGTGACTCTCACATGACTCTCACCGTGACTCTCACCGTGACTCTCACCGTGACTCTCGCCGTGACTCTCGCCGTGACTCTCGCCGTGACTCTCACATGACTCTTGCCGTGACTCTCACCGTGACTCTCGCCGTGACTCTCGCCGTGACTCTCACATGACTCTCACCGTGACTCTCACCGTGACTCTCGCCGTGACTCTCGCCGTGACTCTCGCCGTGACTCTCGCCGTGACTCTCGCCGTGACTCTCACCGTGACTCTCACTGTGACTCTCACCGTGACTCTCGCCGTGACTCTCACTGTGACTCTCACCGTGACTCTCACCGTGACTCTCACTGTGACTCTCACCGTGACTCTCACCGTGACTCTCGCCGTGACTCTCGCCGTGACTCTCGCCGTGACTCTCACCGTGACTCTCACCTTGTCTCCGTTGTTGATGTGAGCTCCAAACCACACAGGTTTGTTGGCCGTGGGCACAGACTTGGTCCACCAGACTTTGCGGGGGATGCTGGGGGTCTGCGGGGACAGGCAGGTCTCTCCGGTCTCCATGTTACAGAACACTCTGATGGCGTCCTTGGCACTGCCCTGGTTTGGGTCGATCCAGTACTCTCCTGTCAATCACAGATGTGTTAGATCCAATCAAACCTTTATTTACCAAATGTTACCGTAACAACCGTCTAAGTCTGGAGGTGGTTTGTAAGGAAGCTCCAAATACTATTTAAAAAAGTAATTTTACATCTTCACAGTATCCTGACCCTAACTCTAACCTAACTGAAGTAAGTAAGCCATCTTTATTCATATAGCGCACTTTGTCAGATATTTTCAATGCACTCCACAGACAAACCCCCAACCAACTCGAAACTGGAGCACCCAGAGGAAACCTACACAGACACCCAGGACCTTCTTGTTGTGCTCCATCTCTCCCCAGAGGACTCACCGCTGGGCCTGCCCGGGTAGCACTGCCTGATGTCCTGGCAGGTCTTGGCCGGGTGGGTCCTGGTCCCGTCCGGACTGCGCAGGTCCTGGATGTGTCCGCTCAGGGTCTTCAGGGAGGCGTGGACCCCCCTGGGCGGGCTCCTGTGGTTGGGCAGAGCCTCGTCTTTGTTGATCTCAGGGAGGGCAG